GAAATTTCAATTTTCGTGAGCTGCTGCTTGTGCTCACATGCATACATACATATACACATTCGAGAGAACAGAGAGCATCGAGAGAGAGAGAGAGCAAGGGAAACATTGAGCATAGAGGGATCTTTTGTTCAACATTTGACCATCTCGTTCGAGCGCATGAAGAGAAATGATTGTACGTTCGTATTTTTTCGTAGCTCGAACTTGAAAGTAAGGAGTCGAGCGAGTCCAAAGCTGTATGGGGTGTTAAAGCCTCAAAAAAAAGCGTGCAAAAAGCTTTCCACTAGTTGTCTAGTCTATGTGTTCTCTGGTTAACGGAATGGTATACACGAGTATGCATACCAAATTTCAGCTCTCTAGCTTTTGTATCTTCTGAGAGCAACGCACTCATAGAGACGGACAGACGGACGGACTGACAGACGGACAGGGCTATATCGACTCAGCGCGTCACACCGATCAAGAATATATATACTTTATTTACTGCCACGCCTCCTTCTGCCTGTTACAAACTCAAATATGTATATATATATGCATGTGAGCACAAGCAGTAGCTCACAAAAATTAAAATTTCTTCGCATAATGAGTACATTGTACTCTTTAAACCGTTTGCCAAGATCGTATAAAAGGTTTGTGTTTCCAATATTTGTGGGAAGGGTATTTTTATATCGCATGAAGAATAGGTTTTCGCGATGAGCACATGGATTTCGGTATACTCTTCCCTCAAAAGGAAAGAGCTGGAATCGTCGCGAACAAATTTGTGTGTTTCATGCAAAAACGGGACGATTTATGGTCTGTATGCGTAACTCTTGCTGCCTGAGCAAATTGTAATGCCTAAAATTTACCGTTGATTGGCCTTTGCAATATTTTCACTGCTCGAACCTCCAGCGACCGAGCCGAGCAAATACGAAGTATAGTGGTCGACCAACTTAACATTTTCCGCTGTAGAAAAGTTTGTTCTACATGTCTAGTCTATGTGTTCTCTGGTCAGTAGTACGTGCTTCTGCGCAGCATAAATACAGCTTACATTAAATTAGATTAAATATTAGATTATTTATATATAATGTACTATAATAGATAAAATGGTTTTTCTATTCACGAACCAGTTTAAAATATTTGTATTTCATGACTATAGAAAATCGCATTTGAATGTTGATGCTAATCAGTGAAAACATTTTTCAATAAATTATGGACGTTGACCAACACCAATAATAATAAAATTGTAAATAATAAAGGAAACTTTATATACTAAAACTAAGAGTCATTCAATAAGAAACGCAATCTAAATTGATCTACATACTGAAAAATTATCTACAAATTTTTTTTCGGACATTTGATGCAAAGTCGAGAAGGAAAAATATGTCTACAGAAGAGCTGCCAGCTGATTTAGATAAACTGAAAATAACAACAAAAATGGAACACACAAAATTATGTGATAGAAATCCATTTTATAGCCCAAACGTTACATTTAGGAGTGAGAATATTTTAGCACCTATGCAAAGTACAAAGCAAATAATTCATTGTAAGACGCGGAGGATCCGTCGAAGTTCAGAGAGCAATATCGATGATTTCAATAATAAACAGTTGGATTCTCCAGTTGCTGCTACTGCAGATAGTTTTGAAATTTGTGTGAGTCCTCTAAGATTTCTACCCGGGGTGAATAAACTTCAGTTAAAACGAAGCAATATTACGCCATCGAAAAGAAATATGGTCCGTGAGCCTGTACTACGAATCACACACGACAATCTACATACGAAATGTGGTTTTGGTACCCGTATTCGTCGCTCGATTCCACTAAATTTAGACGAAAGAAATCGCGCTAGTTTTCATAAACCACGAGTTAACATAAATATTAAGTCAAGTATACACGGTATTTGTAGCTTTCGGGATTTGATAAGTGAATGCAATATCTTGCTCGATGAATCTAAATCTAAGAAGGAAACTACAGACAACATTCATATGTCAAAAAATTTCATAACATGTCAGCAACGAGGGACATCAACTTTAAAAGCAACGGACAAAAATAGCGATATTACTGGAGATGAGCAGGCATTTATCAATCGTGATCAATGCAGCAATACCTCCGTCACCAGCTTCAGCTCGAATTCTTGCTCCCGACTTTCATGTTCCCAGGAAGCGGGCAACAGTGGAGCAAGCCCGAGAAATTGTGACGATGTCACCATAGTAGAGTTGGCTAGCTATTTCGACACCATGGTGCATATTCCTAAGAAGATGTCCTCAATGGCTGAAATGATGTATATTTAAGAAATTGGCGCTGTCAAATATATTTAATTTACTTCTAATATAAATAATTCTGTGTATTTTTACATGTATATAAACAAAATATTCGAATTAATTCTATAGATTAAATATAATATGAATCATACGCATATAAACTAATTATATTATTGAGATTTACAGTACGAGTTTTGGAAAACAGAATTAAAATTAAATATGTAATTAATAATTTCATCCAGCCAGTATAAACAATTCGTTAATTAAATTTCTTACTGGAATAAACAAGCATTTCATTTTAAAAAAAGTGAAATGAAAGGTGAAGTAATATGATGTATTTGAAGAAGATATGTTAGATATAAATAAAATGGCAAAGTATAGAGATTCAAATCGATTTTCAAATTGCGAGCCAGTTAAACTTCGAATCTGAATTGTTCCTTATCACTCGCTGATATATATAATAACCTGTTTTTAAAAGAACTGGGATATGACTATTATAGCCTATGTCTTATGACTTAAGCACCAGTTTATTATAAAACCTTGCCAAAAGTACTCTTTGATATTGGAGACGTCCATTATTTCTATCTATTGACTCACACACGATTCTATTAATATTACAAAAGTTCAAATAGTCGGCTAAAAGGGACACAACATAATTTTCAACGCTGCCGACATGGAGGAGGAAAACAAGACCAGTTGGGTCGAGTCATGTGCTTGATGCTACTTTCGGTTTTACGGATAGCCATTAATAAAATAATAATTACTGAGTTCAGTGACAATTATAATACCAAGATTAATAATGATACAAATTTTAAAGTTTTTAAAAATTGAATGAATAAACAAAATTCGATAGATTAAGAAAATTGTATTTATTATTATATTTGACTTAGATGGCTAAATTTTAAAACGGTATTTTTCTATAGTTGCTTATAGATGAACATATGCAGTTATTAGGCATAGTTTCACCATGTCAACATCATTTAGGATATAATATGTCATAGTGCCCTGGTCTATAAATAAGATAAACTTTTGGATCCGACCCTTCAGGAAAATCATGGGCTTTTACCTGATCACCTTCGCCCCGATCCAGGTACTCAACTCGCACACCTACTCCTAACGCTGTGCACAGCGCAATGATATGTATATGATCTGATTCCTTATACATTGGCTCGACTTCTTGGTGACGAAATTCTTCAATTGAAAAGTCACCCTCAATAAAATGTTGATAAAATTCCGCATCTTCCTGAAGTTTTCCAGACGTAATAAGGCGTAAATAAACGACTACATAATCGGAATATCCTTGATCGTTAAATACTGTATGTAGTTCATTTTTCACTTTTTCAGTTGTTTCGGAATTAATGGGGCATACACGTTTGATTACATCCATAAACTGGCATAAAACGAATGGAAAAGCAATATTTTAATCATTAACAGTCGAACAAACAATTAACTCACAGTTTCATGAAAGTCTTCCAATGTAAAACTAGGAAATCCAAGCTCCACAAGTTTGTCTTTCGAAGCTTCAGCAAGTTCTCGAAATTCTTGGTAAGCAATGTTATTTGCGATCAAATATTCCAAATACGAATAAGCAAAAGCTCTGAAGAAACAATTACCATCGGGACGAGTGCGTCGAATAAATTTATATTTCTTAGACAGTTCTTGTATCTTATCTGTAAAGACCTCATCACCATTATATTCGGCTTGTAAACAGGTAAGCGGTAATTGCTCACTGACCAGAGGAGTGGAGTCACTAATCTAAATACATAAATTGTTTATTATTGCTAATTTAATAGTAATAGCGGTTATTACCTCCTTTTCTATTTCTCGCTGCTGTTGTATAATTAATTCGTCACGATTGGCGTCATTATTTTCAATAGATTCCATGATTCTTTTATAAAGAAATATTTTTTATTATCACAATTGATTTCGTTGTGTGGACATCTAAAAAACCATAATGAATTAATGATAAAAAACCGAAAAAAATACTTACTAAATAAATACTAAATACTGAAAAAGAATATATGTATTCAATTAAGAAAACCATTCACGTGTTAAAAAAAATCGATAAAGTTAGCAAATTTATCTAAGTGATATCGCTAATGGTAATTAATTTGAGCACTCACCAAACAACAATTACACTAGACATGTAGAGCAACGTTTTTCCACGCCGCAACATCTGTCTAGCAAGTCCYGGCCAACTTCGTATTCGSTCGGYTTGGTATTRGATGGSTCGGGTAATGAAAGATAGCACGACGAAATCAGTGCGCTCTAAGCACGCAAACGAAGTGGTCATGTATGCGCTTTGCGTCTTTTGTCTTACTCTCCCTCTCTCTCTAACTCTCTCTCATTGTCAACAATTTCTCTCTCTGTGGGCTCTCAAATCATGAAGCTCAGCAGCGCACAAAAATTGAAATTTCTTCGCGACGGTCCCAGCTCATTCCTTTTGAGTGAAGAGTATACCGAAATCTTAAAATCGTTTGCGACTTTCATGCAAACAAAATGTTAGCGTTTCGATATATATTTATGGGAAGGGTATGAATGCGTTGAGGCGCATAAAGAATATGATCTCGCGACGGGCATGCACACACACACTTGTAGTCCCTTGCCACATGTATGAGCATTTGTNTTGAGAGAGCAGAGAGCAGAGAGAGCGAGAGAGCAAGAACAAAAATTGAGCATAGAAGCATCTTTTATTCAACATTTGACCATCTCGGTCGAGCGCATGAAGCGGAATGATTGTACCTTCGCATATTTTCGTAGCCCGAACCTAAAAAGTGAAGAGCCGAGCAAATACGAAAGTGATACGCCCTAGGAGTCAGATTTTTCGGTGTTGAAAAACTTTGTACTACATGTCTAGTCTATGTGTTCTCTGGTCAGTGTTTCTAGTCTATGTGTTGTTTGGTTAGTGGTGTTGTGTATCAATTACAATTATTTTACTAGGCATTGTGCATTGGAACCTGAGAATGTATAAATAATTTTTCATACTTGTGTAAACTAGTGAAATAAAACAGTGAAAATCGTATAATTTGTCCAAAGAAACAAATGTCTGACAATAACAAACATTTGAAGCCTTTAGGAATTCAATACAAAGATTATTTTTACTCAAGAAAATATATTTTTAATATATATTATTTACAAACATTTTATTAACATTTTATAAATGCATAAGCACAAAAAAATATATGGTTGTCCATTGCGATAACCTCAACCTGTAATTGACGCATATGATGGTTACAGTTTTGAGTCCCCTGCGCCGGCTAGTCAATTCGAATCCAACACAGACATTGCTTCCTTTTTTTCCTCTTCCAATTCCTTTCCAGTCAAATCTAGTTTGGACCTACCAAAATTACTGATACTTAAATTTTCAACTATTTTCCATTGTTTGTTCTTAATCTCAACTGGGAATGAGAACACTACGTCCTTTGGCGAGCCATAACTGCCATCGGAAAACACACCCATAGAAACAAATTTGCCTGGAGCAGTGCCATGCCACCAATCATGCATATGGTCGCATGCAGCCTTTGCTGCCGACATGGCTGACGACATTTTCCGAGCGCTTATAACTGCTGCTCCTCGTTTTTGAACAGTTTCTACAAATGGACCCTCCAAATACGAATTATCTCCAACTGCATCAACAATATTTTTCCATTCATTATCAATAAGTATTTTTCCATGGCTGGCATCTGGGTATTGCGTCGAGGAATGATTTCCCCAAATAATTAAATTGCTTACGTTTGAAATCGGGACACCGAATTTTGAAGCGATCTGTGCTGCGGCTCGATTTTGATCAAGGCGTGTCATAGCCGAGAAGTTTTCGCGTGGAATAGATGGTGCGTAGTTGGCGCACACTAAGGCATTGGTATTTGCTGGATTTCCAACAACGAGCACTTTTACATCTTTTTTCGCGACTTTATCGAGAGCTTCGCCTTGTACTTTGAATATCTTAACGTTAGCAGATAACAAATCCTTGCGTTCCATTCCCTCTTTGCGGGGCATAGCGCCTACGAGGAACGCTGCAGAAACATCTTTAAATCCTTCCAGCGGATCCGTTGTGGGCACAACTTTACGCAATAAAGGCAATGCACAATCGGAAAGTTCCATCACGACGCCTTCTAACACTCCAGCCATTGGCGGAATATCAAGCAGATGTAAAATTAGTGATTGTTCCTTGCCAAAAACTTCTCCCCTGGCAATCATGTAAAGCAAGGAGTAAGCTATTTGACCAGCAGCTCCAGTAACAACAACGCGGATTGGTTCAGCCTATGACAAATTACAAAAAGCAAATATTTACAAATTTGTAAAGTAAATAGAAAATTAAAATAATAAAAATTAGTAAATAATAAATTAAGATTTATAAATTCGAATAACGCTTCATAAACAAGTAAGAAGACTCTAGTCGAGACTGCTCGACTAGG